ATAATTCAAATAGCTAGATAAAAACATGTCAACTTCAACAAACCTAAGATCAATCTATTGCTCCACCATAACAGTTTTTGACCTGAAAGACAAAACTAACCACAGAAGAAAACACTTTACACTGATGTCTGCAATAGTGACTCATGCTACAACATGAGAAAGCAATGCATACACTGCACTATGAACTGCATTCTGAATGCTCTATCAATAATATGCTTATACTGTATGTTTGCATAGCAAGAAGTGTTTGTGTTCACATACTACTGTACAAGTATGTTTCTGGCTTTTGCAATGTGCTATATCAGTTTCATAAGAGGCCCAGAGGACTATAATTTTTTCGTGTTTACAGTATGAGTTTCATCATTCTGCTGACTTCTTCACAAATGGACTCTCAATGACATGCATAATGTATTAAGTCCCGCTGCATGAACGGCTGCATTTGGCATCTTACGTCAGACGTCAAGCAGATGTCTTGCACAGAAAGCATGGTGCATAGACTCATCGTCACATAAATCTATCCGACCTCCCAAAGGGCAACGCTCAACTCATCGCTCAAAAACGCAGTTACTTTAGTGGAAAATGGTGCTTAAAGCAAATGCATCCAAGCGAAAGATCTCACTTTCTTCATTTATATTCTTTGCGGATGCAACATTAAACGTGTGAAAACCAGACTAAGAATAAAAGCCTCCGTTAGCACTTTCTAACCCTATACACAAGCTATTTATTGCACATCTAAATCTACAAACTGCACACAAAAGATGAAAAGAAAGCAATTGTACCATAGAGCTCAGGAAACTTCGGAACCCTTGTAAGACCTTGAGATAAAGCAAAAGATATGAGCGTCTTCGCATTTAACTTTAGAGAAGCAGTGGTAAGAGAGTTAATATTTCAGGATCTACTCGACTAGTACTAAGTTTTACATATTTGAGAAATGATAAAATAATCAACAGTAAGAAAAGACCAGACTTAGCGGCTACTTCAAACCATCCAAACAAATCTAAGAGGACTTCTACAGGAAAACTACTCTACAGGCCATAAAAACATGAGATGTTTTGACGTGTTACCCTCCATAACTGTAATCCATGCCACTACCATTGACGTCACTGTGGAGAAAGCACAGCAATAATTCAATATAGACTTCTCTGAGGAGTATATGATACACAAATGACAAATAATAATAATAAAATAACTTTATTATATTTAATATATACATACATTTCTAAAACCTCTAAATTGTAAACATTATCAAAACTTTAGTGAAAAACCTGTTGCACACAATCTACTGCATGCCTTTTGTTGTCGGATTGATAGTTCATACTAGTGCTGGGCGGTATACCGGTTCATACTGAATACCGGTGTTTATTTTTGTTATGATATGAATTTTTAAAATACCGCAATACCGGTGTATGTCGCTTAAACAACGTTCGGAACGCGACACTGTTTGAAAGGGGTCCCTTTTCACTGTTGCACTGTGTTGAGGGAACAGCTGTATGTGTTACTAAGCGTGAAAGTTCCGAAACTGAAGCTGTACAACTAATAGAACGTGATGACACAGAAAACTCATCCACAATATCCACATTGACCGCCACAAATATCCACCGCCCCCTGCCATCAGCTCCCGCGTCTCACACACACGAGCGCGACTTTAGCACTAGATTTAGCAACTTCAGACCCTTTTAGCGGCTTTTTTCCATAGAATATTCATACTGACAAACCTAGCGACTTTTTTGGATAAACCTTAGCTATCGTTCAGCTGGAAGATTTCGCCAGTGCTGTCCCGCGAACGCGAGGTCTGACTTTCCCGGAGAAGAGTCACCTCTCTCGGCGTCTGTTCTGTGCAGTGAGCGGCAGAGAAGCACCGCAGCCGACTCCTCAATAAATGAGTACAAAACAGCGTTTCCTAGCACCTGTCGCTTACTGATTGTTTAGAATTATAAATATGAGCGTAGTTCGTCTGTTAATATCACATGCACTTTTTTGTTTGTTGTTGTTTTTAGTTTGTTACTCAGACGCAGGCAGTGCGCTGCATGAGACAAAAAAGTAATATAGCCAAAACAACCGCATAGCCGCTCTTTAGTGTAGATGCATGTTGATTTTATCAGACGATGCCGCGATTATAAATGAGAGTGACTCCTGGTTAACATGTATTAAAAGGGGTCGTGTTTAGTCACTATTTAGTGTGGTATTTTTTGACAATATTCACTCATCATGACAGTAAAATAGGGCATTCTAAGTCAATATACTGCAGTATTTCCTCTCTCAAACAGTAGAAAATATGGTTAACACCCGGTCATGCATGAAAAAAAAAAATACCGTCATGTACCGTGAAACCGGTATAATTTTGAAAAATACCGTGATATAAATTTTTGGTCATACCGCCCAGCACTAGTTCATACTTTCTATCCTTTTAGAATAATTGTAAAAATGTCATTGAAAAAAAACCCCTCATCGTTACAAAGTAAACGTAAGAATAACTTTTATATTGTAATTACTATTTCAAGATGAAAACTTACTGAACTGAAGGCTTACTTGATTATCCATATATAATTTTGTAGAAAAACTGTGTTAAAATGTGAGTATCAAATATAATCCATCAAGCTTTTGGGGAACGTTTATTTGTCGTCTCTCAATCATCACTGTATTGAATTGCATTATATGTTTTGCCCCTCACAATAAAAAATATAGAGCTTTAATCATAAAACTAAGCATTTAAATATCTTCCTAAAACATATCTTACTAAAACATATTATTGGGAGACAGAGTGAAAGATAATATTTATATGCATTATGTGTCAGTAGTCTGCTATACTGTTATAAATCTTATTGATTTACACTGCAAGCTATCAGAATTTCATCATACCTTTGGCCAAATAAATATCAGCAACAGCACCAAATTGCATATTTTTGCTTAGTTTGGGCCTCTGAATAAAACGGAGCTGTTTTATTTTTTCTTCCTGGAATATGAATTCAATATTTTCCTATATCATACTCTATGGGCCATAAAAGCCTGATGTATCAAATATGATACTCAAAAACATAAAACCAAACTTATATATATATATATATATATAATTTCTCTCTAATGGTTCAGTAAATGTACTAACAAGCTAACAAACTAACCAACTAACTAACTAAAGAAGATTTCTTCTTACAATTATTTTATGCCATGCTTCATGGTTAAAACGTAAAATCAAATGCATAATTTTTCCATACCTTTAATGATGACAGAATTTTATTCAGACCCTTATATTTTACCCCTTCCCTTCTGGCATGTAAGACCTACTTTAAACAAGCCTTTTAATTCCTGATGGATAATAATCACATTTGTGAAATTTTATTCTGAATTACATCTGATTCCAGAAGTAAAGTTGTTTGTGAACTGTGTTTCACTTGGACTGGAGCGCTCTGTAGCCCCACTCATGTAAACTGACACTGGAACAGATAAAGTGGATTTAAGAGTCTCGGAACACTGACTGTCGGTAATGTCACAGCTCGGGAGTCATCCATCAGAATCTCAGACAGTTTTAGGTTGAAAAATTCCACCCTTGTGGAACAACAGTCTTTCCTTGACGGTTTCCTGTCAGCTTTTTTAGGCTAATCTTATGCACTACAGACCACAGAAAATTGCAAGGTTTTTGCATGTCAGCTTGTTAGAGAGGCCCCAAAAAGTAATTAGAAATGTATGAAGGTCATTGTATTAGATGCAAAATATGGCATGTGCAAATAAATGATACTAGAGCTTTACTTACGACTAATAAATATGGTAACATATAAGATTAGGGAACACTGCTTATAAGGTAGTTGTACACTCTAAAAAATGCTGGGTTGTTTCAACCCAACTTTGGGTCAAATATGGACTAACCCAGCTGTTGGGGTAAATTTTTACATTAAATTTTTAACCCAAAAGT